ATCAAGCTTGTCCTTTTTTAAGTGGGAGTGAAAGCGACATCTTCGTGAGAATTTATTCTCCGTGTCAGACCTAGCAAGTAACTTTCGGGGTTCATATGCTCTATGTCTTCGTGAGAATTTATTCTCCGTGTCAGGCATAGAGAAATGTGTCCCCTTGAATTGAACTCGATCCGCTTAAGTCTGTAATGGACTAGGATTGAGGTTTGACAGCCCAAGGGGCAACAAGGACAATTCGAGTAAACAAGCATGGAACTAGAAGTATGAGGTTAAGATTTATACATTGATATATAGTTTTTTAGTTGGTATTAACTATTCTATTTTTTTTTTCATGTATATTACATTGCTCTAATCCGTCATATTGATTTCTTTTGTTTGCATTACAGATCATGGCATAACCAAAAGGTGTTGACTTAAAAGACTGTTCATCATATTGGAAAGAAATCGAAATGGACAAAAGTTTATGATCAAACAAAATATGATGCGGCCAAAGAAAGACATCCTGAAGAAACTACGAGGATCGAGGGAAGTTCTGTACATAAGAACCGGTTATATTAATACCAAAAGTATTAATCAAGATCCTATCAGATTGATACCAAAAGCAATCTATGGTAGAGCATCAGTCAGGGCATTCAGAGTAGTGGAGATTTTTATGAAACTCAAGCATATTATTGAAGGACTTGAACGACCAAAACAAGAAATTGAGCACAGAAATGAAAACCATGCATGAAGATTTTCAAAGATCAGTCAAGCCTTTTCAAAATGCTAGCCTAGGAGGTACCCCAGAAGAATGGAACAGGGGTCACCAAGCTGAAAAAAGAGCTGCAACATATATGAAGATCTTGTTCAAGAACTTCTTGGACAGAAAAGATCTCTTACAAAGGAAAATGAGAAACTCCGAGAATGACACAGAAAATGAAAGAGAATGTCATGGAAGAGGTTACAGTCCAGACAAGCAATATGTCCCTTAAGTTGATAGACTAATTTGGCTTTGGAGAATTTAGGAATGAAATATATCCCCTATATGTAAAGTTTTGTTTATGTACCGAAACTTTTGCGTTCAATGAAATCTGTTCTAAGATGATCACTCTTCAGTACCACCTTTTCATACATGCATTTGTATTTTGCATTTGTACATTTTTACGTTTGTATTTACATTTACATTTTAATTTACATCATGCATTAAAACATATTTAATTAAATAATAATGTTTATTTATTTCAATATCAAAGAAAAGGGCAGTCTTAATATAACTGGATGTCCTATTCTGGTATTTTAAATATTTACATTACATTTTTACATTTGCATATTTACATTTGGCATTTTTGCATTTGTATTGCACAATTTGTATGCTTATTATACATTCACATATTTACATTTGAATTTGCATTTGCATTTTTTTACGTTTGTATTTACATTTTCATTTTTTACATATTACATTTGGTTTAACTATTTTACATACATTTAAACATGAAAACATGAGAGTAATTCGTGGAGAATTCCATGATAGAATTTCTGAAATCAAAGTGGAGCTAACTTGGTCTTCCTAAACAAGGATAGAACCATGAATGAGTTTAGCAAGGGTGGTAGAATTGAGAAACTACAAGAGCAACTTATCAAGACTCAACAAGAGATGATTGATCAAGTAAAAATCCCATAATGATTCAAAAGAGCAAATGACAAAACTGATGGACCTGATAATGTTGTACTCCATGGAGAGAACCCTTAAAGGATCCCACTGTGAAGGCTATGAATAGGTTTTGAATGATAATGATGAGTTCGATGTGATAGTGTCTGATGATCAAGAACATATTAAAGAGCATGGTAATTCAATACAGATTCAAGATTTGGTCTCAAGGGGCAATCTAAGGAGTCTGGTGAACACTACCCCAGTTATAGCTGAAATGAGCATTCAGAACCCCCTCGATAACATGAGAGCATTCATTCGTTCAGAACGATCAAAGAAGTGATAGCCTCGCGAGCAAGAAAAACTCTAAAGGTGTTTCAAGAATCTATCTCAGACCTGTACCCTCATTTGTTAAAGCTCAATACATTACACCAAGATTGGTGAAGGTGTCACCAAGGCCTTATGCTCATTGCTATGATCAAAATAGCTTCTAATTTTCACTTGGGAGTATCTGGACATTCAACAGGGAATTATTGGTCACTGTTAAAGGAAATAGAGACGTTCGCGATAAGGGAGTCTTGACACAAGAAATGATCAAGAAATGGAGCAAATAAGGATAAAAATCCTGGGCCAAGTACATACCCAACAATAGAGGAGTGATGAGTCATGATAAATAAATAAGTGGAAGTGTTATCTACCATATAGTACTTTTCTATTTTCAGCATCTTGTTTGAACTTGTTTTTTTTGTTCCTTCTCTGCCTTTTGTGCAAAAAAAATAAATTGTGTTGCTTTTATGGTTATGAGCAAAGAATCAAGTTTAATCTGAGATTATTGAGTATCAAGTAGATTAAATCTTTTAAATTTGCAAGAGTTATAGATCTATTGGCAAGTGAAAAATTATATCTTCCATATCCCATCCAACACCAATTACTCGACCTTTACCAAAACCAAATCCTACACTACATTTATTTGAGACTCTGAAGAAATGTCTCTACCTGTTTTTGAGACACAAACTCTAGATGTTTACCTTCTCGGGTAGAGTCGATTGATTGATGATACTACCTTCCACCATATACATGACTTTATAAGTCACATTTGTCCTTCCAAATACAAAACCATCATAAACCAAAAGACCTCAAAAGAAAAACCAAACTTTCAACTATTCGTTGAATTTTACTGCAAGAAGAGACGAGATGAGGCATCATGGACCAACTCATTGATGATAATTTCGAGTGATTAGGGCATACTCAAAGAGGAAGGGGAAAATGATTGATTGAAATAAATATCATGCATTAATTACATTTTTTCATGTAAATAAAGTTAATCTTGAATATTCATCCCCTGTGGATACCTCTTTTTACAAGGTTTCTGTGTATGAGATGATGAATGGCATTGTTTCATTTATCCTTTAATATATATATATACATATCCTTTGTTGTCCCCATTTGAGCCGAATAATGTTTCTTCTAATTCAACCCTAACCAAGGATCACCCTCTATATTAGGGGGCAAGGTAAAGGATATTGGCTCACAAGAATAAAGATGTCAATACAGTTTTATTACGAAGACAAGTTCCCATGAAGTCATGAAAGTTTTGAACTACAAAGTATGTCAAATACAGAGTGCTTGAAGATCAATCCAATCAAGAATAATGGAAAACCTCCAAAATGCAAAAGGAAAAAGAGGTGCTCAAGCAATTGAAGTATATATACTCATCCAGCAAAGAAAGAAGAAAAAAAAGAAAAAGAAAGAAAAAAAATCGAATAAAGATGGGTGATTTATTGAGCCTCAAGTTACAAGGTGATCAAGTACAACAAGAAGAGCAAGAAATGCTGGAGATATGAGAAAATGGAAATGAATCCAAAATTTGGCACTCTAGAGGGATCCAGTTGATGGAAAATTCCTCAGCAAGGCAGATCCAAGTCAAACAAACAAGATTGACGGCATCAGAATGAATTGATCCTTGGTTTGATGACCCTTAAACACTTATTTGGGCCTTTTTATCCCTTTCTTTCGTAACCATAAGCCATGGCCTACGTTACGTACCTGAAAAGTCCATTCTAATCATACATGGGTTCTAAGTAAAAGATGATATCTTTAGAATTCATTCCGCCTTCCAAGATTGATTTTTATTTGCAAAAATTAGTTTTAAAATCTTTAATGCATGATATGAAAAATGATAAAGGTGGGTTCAAGATATGAATTTTTAAATAACATCTTGAAACCAAAGGAGGATTCGAGTTGAAAACCTGAAAAGGCGGCTCGAATATGAATGGTGCAACAACGACATAAGAGACGATCTTAAGCTCTTAATAAAGCACCACACATCTCAAAAACGTTCCTGAGATTCTGGAAACGAGAAGCATCTCTACAAGATGAGCATAACAACCATTTCTTCAAGTTAGTGGAAGCCCGAAGCGACATACTGAACCAACTTGAAAGAACCTACTTTACCAAATCAACCTACACCTCAAATCAGTCAATAATTTTGACACTTGCCATAGGACTATGATTTTTGAATGATTTAAAAGTGTAGTGATTTATTTGATATTCATTAAACTCCTTGTTTATGATTCGATTATATTGTGAACCTGAAAGGGGTAATACTTTGCAAAATTCTTTCATTCTTCAATAAAGAAAGGAGAAAAAACATTTTCAAACAGTACAGTCTCAAATGAGGAAGGTCCTTAAAGCAATTGTTGCTTATTCTACCTTGTTGTAGAAAAAGAATGAACGAAGCCAGAATAATGAAGCACTTCACATTTTGAAGGCAAGTGGTCCAAGAAGCCAGAAAGTCTGGAGAATTGAACTTGTGACACTCTCCTATGACATTATTAGCAGCTCATCAAGAAAGATCGTTTATCTCATACTGAGGGCAATAAGGATCACCAGACAGATTATTTTCTCCAACCATCAATTCATGTTCTCTAGAAGATTACATTATAGAACCATGAGCAAGTCACTACTGCACTCTGGTATACCGTGATGCTGGTTCAAGTCTTGATACATCATTGCTACTTCTTCTATGCCGATCACTTTCTTTGTCAAGATGATACCCATTATGTCCTTCAGAAGATTGCTGAATTTGAATTGAGGACTTAGGGCACAGAATAAGATATTGGAACAGATTCTACACTTGTATGCTGTACAGGATTCCAAAAGTTGAGATAACCAGTTTTACCATTAACTAAACCTTTCCATAGTTAAGGAAGAGTGAGATATGGCAGTGTGTATTTTGGAGCAGCAGAAGAGACAGCTGTCGTAGCAGTCATTATAAGAAAATGCACCAACAAAATCTTCTAGTTAATCATGATGATGTTTATGCTTCCGGTAAGATTGTTACACGGGATGCTACCGACAACAAGGTCGAATCCGCCAAATCTATTCATCAATTGCTCCAACCGATCACCATTCAGTTCTTGCACCTCTGTTTTCAAAGATATACTAAGACAGTAGAAGGCGATCTTTGCAGCACTGATTCCAGCAAAAGAAACAAGACATTGATATCACTGGGAAACATGTCTCTAAACAGATCCTTATGTATGGTTTTTAAGGAAACCTAGAAATATTTCCACCTCATCAGGTTCAAGTGGAGCAACTTTATTCCTTCCAACCCATACTAGATTCCATTTTCAGCACTCATTAAGAACATACTTCTGGACACTCTAAGGTGGCTCATTGTCATAAGCTTCAAGAACCTTACAGATCCTTTCTGTTAATTTGGCACTTCCTGTACATGTTTATAAACAGTTCAACTTTGTTTTTGGATTCCAAGAAGGCCATCATTTCTTTGTCAATGGAAAAGCATCAGGACATGGAGGAAGCAGAATAAGAAAAATTTGTTCTTAATTAGCAGATTATGAATATAGCCTATTTTCAGTGTGACAGCATGAAAATGCTTCGAATCTACAAATTCTGGCTTTACATCGAATAAGTACTGTGATATCCCAGTCCAAACATTAATGGAACAAATGAATGTGCTCATAGCATCTTCTGGAAGTGTTCTTTGAGTTATCTGATCTGGTTTGGCAAAACCAATCATTGAATTTGGAAGATGAATGTGCTCATAGCATCTTCTGGAAGTGTTCTTTGAGTTATCTGATCTGGTTTGGCAAAACCAATCATTGAATTTAGAAGATGAATTTGTTCATAGCATCTTCTGGAAGTGTTCTTTGAGTTATCTAATCTGGTTGGACAGAACCAATCATTGAATTTGGAAGATGAATTTGCTCATAGTAGAATAGGAGACTCAATAGCATCTTCTGGAAGTGTTCTTTGAGTTATCTAATCTGGTTGGACAGAACCAATCATTGAATTTGGAAGATGAATTTGCTCATAGTAGAAATAAGGAGACTCAATAGCATCTTCTGGAAGTGTTCTTTGAGTTATCTGATCTGATTCGGTAGGAACCCCAGAACCGATCATTGGAATTAAAAGATGAACTGCATGATCGTCTTCATTAAGAAGCTTCTTTTCAAGCTTCTTTTGCTTATTCCTTTCCCAAAATCATAGCACAAGTTTCGCCTTTCTTGTTATTGGGATCATCACATAATGGCTTCCCATCTTTTACCGGAAGAAGTGCGTCATCCTTAGTCATTTGAGCAGCACATATAAAATCTATCAATTTTGCAATTGATGAATCTGGACCACATTTCTCCAGGGCTATTGAAGTTTCAGCCTCTGAGAATCCCATTTTCGTCAAGTATAACAGTTTATTCTCCTCATCAGAATCAGAATTCATGATTTCCTCGATATCAGAAGAACTATCAATATCTGTGAAATCATCCTGAAAGATTGCTTCATAATCAGATGAGTAGTTATCAGAATCAACATGTTGCATGGGTGCGGACTTTTCAAGAACCTGTACCACTGTAAATGATCACCTCACTCAGAAGAGACACATATCTGAGACATTTCTGTCAGAATGATTGAGCACTTTAAACTTTGTGACAATATGAAGAGAATTCCTCCAGTTACTTGACAACACGGCTGTTTAGTGACACCAGAATGAGAGTATTCAAGATAAACAGATTTAGGGCACGAATAAAGCCGCAAATACCCACCACAGTGCATTGTCAAAATTGGACCTAGTGGGGATCATGATATTCAAGTTAAACAGACGTTGAGAGTGATCAGAAGCAAAATGTTGGGGCATCTTGAAAGCCATTTTAACCAGAGATAGAATATGGGGTATTTTTGAAGGCTCACAACAATATGAATATTTGGGCATTCTTGGAGGCTCATCTCAACAAAAAGTAATGTTGAGCATACTTTTAACATCTGTATCAGCAAATATTGGGGCATTTTAAAGCTCACTTCAGACAGATCCATGTGGGGTATTTTGAAGACTCAGATTAACAAGAAGCAAATATTGGGGCATGCTGAAAACCCTTTCAATCAGAATCAGGACTGTTGATGCATTTTAGACACTTGTATTAGCCAATGTTGGGGCATGCTGAAGGCCCACAATATCCTGTGTCGAGATCATTGATTTGAACAAATATTTCTAATGAGACAAAGATATGAAGAATGAAAATGATGAAACAGTGACAGTTGAGCTGACTACACATAATTGCTTCGTTCATCAGGCAGTTGCATTAGGGTCCTGTTGTTGAACAAATATTTATTCAGCAAGTATGATTTCAAATACCAATCTTCTTAAAACCATGTGTCACATGATAGCGTGATCTTTGTTAAGCTACATCATAGTTGCATGAATAAAATGATCCCCAAGAGGCTACTCAATCCAGGGTTCAGTTCCTCAGATCTCAGCTTTGAATTTTGCATTCTCTGTATCAGTGATAATTGAAAATATTTCTTTGAGATTTCTGGCAGTTAGTTTCAACCATACTGTTGGATTATGAAGTTGTTTTTCACATCAGTTTTTACTTGCTTGATGACATTCTTCTGAGACTTGACTCACTTACATTACTGTTATTCCCGTTGTTACTGGGTCATTATTGCTAGCCAGGCAGAACTGAGTTTTTATCTATTTTGGGTTATCATGTGCGTTTTATCCCCAGCAGCAAGAATTTCATGAACCTCTTTCTGTACATAAATCCTATAGCGGATGTGTTTCTACTTCCTACAATTCTCATTATGAAGAAAACGTGATCAGTATCACATTTGTCTTTGCCCGAGATGATATCAAGATCAGTTAGTGTCTCCTATTCAATTCAACACTAGCATATCTTGTGAATTTGACCAACTTTTTGGTCATATCAACATTACACTTGAATCCCCATTGAGTTTTGTTCTCAAGTGGTCTTATGACATCATACAAAACTTTGAACACCATGAAAAGAGCTTCAATGATTGAGAAATCTTAGCAGAAACCACAAGAAAGAATGAATGTGTTGTCAAATATTTTATATCCAAGCAGAAGCCACATGAGATGATAATGTGTTATCAAATGTTTTACGACCCAGTGATTATGATGTTGAACCAATGTTGTGATCATATGGTTTCCATTTTTGATCCAAGATGAAGTTTGTCTTTTTCAACTTCAAGATTATAAGATGAGATATGATGAAGATTTCTTTCCGCAGATGGAGAGCTGAAATTTTAACCACAAGAAACTAGTTAAACGACAAGTTGTTGTTAAGCATCTCGACATGATATGGTCCAAGTTGCCTTATTCGAGATCTGATTATATGTGGAGACATGAAAAAATTTGGAATAAATCTTCCTTGTGATGTGTTTCAAGAGTCAAATCAGAACAGACTCAACTCTCCTAATTAAACCCTGCTGAGTCAAACATATCTACATCTACATTCTTTAAAGATGATAGATTCCCTTTTTAAAGATGACAGATTCTCTTTCAAAGATGAAAGCTTTATCGGATTTCTGCACAACTCCAAGCAAAGAAAGTTGGTTTTATCCAAGACAAAATGGGGCATCAGGGTCATAGTTCTGACTACGACAAGAGTTCCACTAATGAAACAATTCTTTTGAGACTTTCATGAAGCGAAGAAGACATAAAGATACAAGTTGATCAGATGGTTCTTCAGAAATGCAAGCTTGATAGCATAAGTTGCTACACTGATATCCAGATGTGACCCTGGCAATAAATGATGAAGTGGAGGAAAACCGAGTTTACCATTTTGAAGTTAAACGAAGATTGCATCAACATTCATGCATCATATTTAGACATTTGCAAAATATGAGCATTTTCATTCATTTTATCCATGTTGAATATTTGACAGGAATTTCAAAGATTTTAGCAAAGTTCAAATCCATCATTCAATGGATCAACATTCCAGGTCGAGTTCATAATGAGAAGAACTCATCTGAAGAAGGAAGAAGAAGTTCATAATGAGAAGAACTTGTTCAACTTTTTGCTTAAATTCATCATTTGATGGATCATCATTACCAGTTAGAGTTCATAATGAGAAGAACTCATTTGAAGAAGAAGAACTTGTTCAACTTTTTGCTTAAATTCATCACCCGGTGGATCAGCAGTGTCAGTTAGAGTTCATAATGAGAAGAACTCATCTGAAGAGGAAGAAGAAATTCATAATGAGAAGAATTTGTTCAACCTTTTCCCTGAATTCATTACTTGATGAATTATTTTTTCCAGAGGAAGTTCATAATGAGAAGAACTTATCTGAAGAGGAAGAAGAAGTTCATAATGAGAAGAACTTGTTTAACCTTTTGCTCGAATTCATCACTTGATGGATTAACATTTCCAGAGAAAGTTCATAATGAGAAGAACTCATTTGAAGAGGAAGAAGAAATTCATAATGAGAAGAATTTGTTCAACCTTTTCCCTGAATTCATCACTTGATGAATTATTTTTTCCAGAGAAAGTTCATAATGAGAAGAACTTATCTGAAGAGGAAGAAGAAGTTCATAATGAGAAGAACTTGTTTAACCTTTTGCTCGAATTCATCACTTGATGGATTAACATTTCCAGAGAAAGTTCATAATGAGAAGAACTTATCTGAAGAGGAAGAAGAAATTCATAATGAGAAGAATTTGTTTAACCTTTTGCCTGAATTCATCACTTGATGGATTAACTTTTCCAGAGAAAGTTCATAATGAGAAGAACTCATATGAAGAAGGAAGAAGAAATTCATAATGAGAAGAATTTGTTCAACCTTTTGCTCAAATCCATTATTTGATGGATTAACATTGCCAGGTAGAGTTCATAATGAGAAGAACTTGTCATCTGAAGAAGAAGAAATTCATAATGAGAAGAATTTTTTCAACCTTTTGCTCAAATCCATCACTTGATGGATCAGCTTTTCCAGAAAAGTTCATAATGAGAAGAACTCATCTGAAGAAGAAGAAGTTCACAATGAGAAGAGCTTGTTCAACCTTTTACATAATTTTATCACAGAAGCAAATAGATTAGCATCAACATTTTCAGAGAAAGTTCATAATGAGAAGAACTCATCTGAAGAAGGAAGAAGAAGTTCATAATGAGAAGAGCTTGTTCAACCTTTGTTTGATTCTATCACAGAATGAGATAGATCAGTATCAGCATTTCCATAAAAAGTTCATAATAAGAAGAACTCATCTGAAGAAGGAGAGAATTTGTTCAACTTTTGCTAGATTACATCACAGAAGAAGATAAATTGTCATCCCCGGCGAAAAAGTTCATAATGAGAAGAACTCATCTGAAGAAGAAGAAGTTCGTAATGAGAAGAACTTATTCAACACTTTGCATGACTCTATCACAGAAGGAGATAGATCAGCACCAACATTGCCAGAATGAGATAAATTGTCAATCCCAGTGGAAGAATTCATAATGAGAAGAATTCATCCTAAGTGAGCAAAAAGTTCATAAGGAGAAGAACTTATAGCTCAGAAGTTTAAACATTTCAAGCTAAAAATGGTGTTTTATGTCTTTGCTCCATTCCTGTTCCACAGTAACGAGCAAAGAGGGGCAGCTGTAATCACCATTTTTACCTCTCCATTCCAGCAACTCCACGTTGCAGCTACAAACAGCCTCCAGCAAGCCGGGACAGCAGCCCATCCACGCAGCAATTTCCAGCAGCCGCAGCAGCCCCTCCACGCAGCATTTCCAGTAGCTTCCAGTGACAGCTGCCCCTCCACGTTGAAGCTATAGGGTGAGTCACCACCATAGTTTGGTGACTCACCGAACTCCCCCTTATTACCCGGTCCATGGAAAGCTTTGTGGTGGCTATAAAAGCCACCACCGAGCATGCAAAAAAAAGAAAAGAGGAAGGAACGGAGCGAGCAAGAAAAGAAAAAAGGAGAGCAATCAAACAGAAAAAAATAATAATAAAATAGAGTGAAGATACCGAGCAACTTACCTTCGTCGGAGCATCCAAATCACCGGAAAACCACCAAAAAAACCGAAGGTAAAGATTTAGATCTACGGAGTTTGGGGTTTTTTTTAGAACAAGAGGAGCCGGAATCGGATTTAGAAATAAAAGAGGATTTTTTGGGTAATTTTGTAAAATTCCGACCACCGTGGACGGTGGCCGGCGACGATGACCGGCCGGTCACCGGTATTCTTCCGGTGAGGGAGCTCTAGAGAGAAGCTAGAGCTTCTCTCTCTAAGAAAGAGAAGCAAATGGAGAGAAATGATAATTTAGGCCAATTTTGGCCTATTTATACCCTTACCAAAACGACGTAGTTTTGGTGAGGGCCTCTGTGTAATTTCCCGCATGGGAAAACCATACGCATTATCCTCCTGATTTGATAGACTTATATTTTAGTCACTAAATTAAGTTTTCGAGCATTTTAATGTTGTTCCTGAAAAAAAAAAAAAAAAAAAAAAGAGGAGAGAAAAGAAAAAAGAGAGACAGAACCGGAAAAAAACAGAGAAATAGAAAAAATACTAACCAACGATCTCAGCCAAAAATCCCATAAACAGAAACAAAAAAAGAAGGAAAAAGGAAGAAGAGAACTTACCGAGGAAGCCCCGACTACCAGATCTCACCGGAATCTTCGAAACAACGAAGGTACTTTTGTAGATTCGCTCCGATTGGGAGCCTTTTAGGAAGAAATAACACCGGAACCGTCCTTAGGACGGTCCGATCTATATATTAGTGTAAAAATCTTTTTTTTCGGCCACCGGATGCGGTGGCCGGCGGTGATGGTCACGGCGACAGACGGTTGCCGTCCGGTGACCGGCTTCCCTCCGATGAGGGAAGCTAGAGAGAGGGCAGAGAGAAATTTGTTCTCTCTCAGTTAGAGAGAGAACAGAAATGATAAAATGAAGCTGGCCCTTCGGGCCAGCCGGTTTTTTGGACATATAGTCCTTCCCGAACGACGTCGTTTCGGGAAGGACTATGCGCGTAATTACAAAATAGTTAAATCCCGTCCGTAGTCCTCCTAACTTGTAAATTTTATATTTTGGTCACTAAACTGAATTTATAATAATTTTAATTCAGTCTTTGAATTTTAATTTTGTTCATTTTAGTCCTTTTTATTAAAATAATATATTTAGGATAAATGACAAATTTAATCCCTTAATTTTAATAAATAATATTTTAATCCTTAGTTTATATTTTAATTTAATTTATTATAAAATTCGAATTTTAGATAATTTTATTTTGGTCACTAAATTATTAAATTAGAAAATAAAATATTTAAACCCTATAATTTCAATTAATTAGTAATTAGTAATTAGTTTTATTTTTATAATTTAGTTATTCATTTTATATGTCTTCATTTATTTTATTGTTTTTTAAATATATTGTTTTAGTAATATTTTTATTTTATTATATTGTTAAATATTTTTTATATATTCATAAATATACTTATAATAAATAGTATTTTTTTTAAACATTTATTTTTTAATAACGAAGAAAAGGACAGTCTTAATACAACTGGATGTCCTATTCTGATATTTAAATTAATATTTATCAATATCAAAGAAAAGAGCTGTCTTAAGGCACCTAGAAGTTCTTTTCGGATATTTTTAAATAAATAAATATTTTTTATATAATTTTGAAATAATAGGATTATAAATTAAATATATTTTTAAATTTTAATAATAGAGACAATTTATAATTAAAAAGTACCAATTTTGGGCGTTGTAGGGGTGCTAATCCTTCCCTAAACGTAACCGACCACGAATCCCTTTTTATTATTAAAAAGAACGAATTTTTGGTTATAAACGCAGATCAGTTCATTTTTTTAATTGATGTTTTCTTAAAACTCTTTTAAAAAAATAATTTTTAGGTATTCGACCTACCTGACCCAAAAGGCCGATGGCGACTCTCAAATTATTTTCAAAACCATTTATTCACATCAATTTTCTCGCCAAATAAATATTTCGTGCCCGGACGAAAACCGGTTACGACAGCAATAACTCTTACAACCCAGTTTACTCCATTGACCCCCCTGACTTTGCTTAAAAATCTAGTGTCTCATCCTATTATACCAACTAGTTGTTAGTCATAACCAGAGATGGACCGAAGGAGAGACAGGTAGGGGCAGTTGCCCCTGAAATTTTCAAATTATCATATATTTTAAAAAAATTTATCTATTTTTTATTGATAGTCTATTTTCGCCCCTAAAATTTTATAAATCTATCCCTTCTAAATTTTTATAAGTTTACTTTTTAAAATAAAATCTTGCGTTTATCCCTTATCGTAACTCTTATGTTTAAGCCATCATCATATTTATTACCAACGTTAAGTTTTATTTATATTCTTTTACTTTTTTAATTTAATATAATCTCTCAATTAAAAGAGAAAAAAATTTCTAGATAAAGTGAGATAATCAAAGAAAAAAACATAATTAAAAACTCATGTCACATATTATGTATTGACGTAAAAAATTCTGAAGATGCAAATAAAATATTTTAAAATTATTTTGACATAAAAAACACTTGATATAAAAAATAGGGTAAATTTTGTGTTTAGTACTCAAAGTATCATTTGTGTTCTATTTTGTTCACTCAACTATTTCAAAATCATAAATATATTATATTTTAGTTTCATTTTGATCACATACCATTAAAATTTTAATGGTGATGCTAACGTGTCACCATAAAATAATGCTACATCAACATTGATTTTTTTTAAAAAGCCATTTCAGTAGTTCTATTAATTTTTTAACAGTAGATCATCAAAATAAAATCAAAACGTAAAATTAGGCATGATTTTAAAAACATAATACTTGAGTGACTAAAACGCAATAAAAGTAATAGACGAGGCACAAAAGTGTAGTTAACCCAAAAAATAATTGAGAAAGAATTTTTTTTCTAGATAAAATTAGATAATATTAAAAAAACTCATGTCGCATATTGTGTATTGACGTAAAAAAAATTGAAGATGAAAATAAAATATTCTAAAATTATTTTGACATAAACACTAACACTTTAAATAAAGAAATAGGATAAATTATATGTTTAGTACTCCTAGTATCACTTTTGTTCCTTTTTGATCACACAGTTATTTTTTGTTTCAAAAGTTATACCTAATATTACGTTTTAGTTTCATTTTAGTTACCTACTATTAAAAAATTAATAGTAATACTGACGTATTACCATAAGATAATGTCACATCATCATTAAAAATTTTAAATATGTCATGTTGGCATTTTAATCTTTTAACGACGGATGATCAAAATGAAACAAAAACGTAATGTTAGGTATGATTTTGAAAAGAATAATACTTGAGTGACTAAAACACAACAAAAGTAATATTTTAGGTACTAAATATATAGTTTACCCAAAATATAATTGAACAATAATTTTTCAAATAAGGCTGTATCCAACAGAATTGTTTATTTATGGTAAGGCCCAAAAAGAAGGTTGCATTTGCAGTCTGCCAACGTTTAGCGAGGGTTTTACTCTGTTTCAAGGCGTCTTAGCCGACAGCAGAAGAGAATAAGGGTTTTTGTTTTAGGGTTCTTCAATTGTTTCACGTAAGAACTCATTTTTCTTGTCAATTTTTCATTTTCACTTTTATCGATTCACTGTATGATTTATTGTTAATAGTTGCTTAACTAGTAAATCTACGAATGACATGAGTTAGTAGTTTAGTTCATTATCCCCAAATGCATCGAAGAATCACTGTTTTCACCCTTCAAGTTCTCAGAAATCCCCCTATTATCCCCTCCCAGAAAAACCCATTTTACTCCCAGTTTATTCCCTTTGCCCGTGGAGCAAATGAGTTAGCTTCTTTTCGATTTTTTTCCTTCTCTCCGGTGCACCGACGTGTACCTGATCCCGATGACCCTGCAAATCTGATGAAAGAAGATGGTGTGTCAGTTTGTTCTCAGATGTGGATTGAGAATTTTAGAGAACCCGATAGGTTGGTTTCCAATTTGACCTCGTATCTTCGGAGATTCGAATTGTGGGTATTGGCTTATCAGAAAATTTGTGCTGATGAAATAGGATCATATGTGCCTCGCAGTTCGATTACTAGGTCTGCATTGGATGATTTGTTAGCTTTGAGAAATGCCGTTCTTGATAATAGGTTTAAGTGGGGTGCCAGGCTGGATTTCTTTATAAAATCACCTAAAGACAAGACGGATTATGAATCTTTATCCAAGAGGAAGATTAAGGCGATCTTAACGACTACTCAACCTGCATCGTTTCAAGACAAGTTAGTGCAGGAGGTTTTGTTTATGATTCTGGAACCGATATATGAGGCTCGGTTCTCACACAAGTCATTTGCCTTTAGGCCTGGGAGGAATGCTCATACAGTATTGAGGGTGATCAGGAGAAATTTTGCTGGTTATTTATGGTATATAAAGGGCGATTTAAGTGTGATTTTAGATGGATTGAAGGTGGGGTTGGTGATAAGTGCTTTGATGAGGGACGTGAGGGATAAGAAGATTATTGATTTAATCAAGCTGGCACTAGTCACACCTGTGATAACTAGTCCCGTAGATGGAGAGGAAAAGAAGAAAAAGAAAAAGAGGAAGTATCAGAAGAAGAAGGTGTTGGCTGAGGATGAGCCAAAGCCCGATCCTTACTGGTTGGAGACTTTTTTCGGTTTCGCACCAGAGGAGGCAGAGAAACTTCCTTCATGGGGGCATTGTGGAATTCTTAGTCCTCTTTTAGCTAATATATGTCTCGATGAATTGGACCGGTGGATGGAAGGTAAGATTAAGGATTTCTATTGTCCATCCAAGAGTGATGTTATATGGAATAGTCCTGAAGGGGAAGCAGAACAGGGGAACACATCTTGGCCAGAATTTGTTCCAACTAGTGGGCCAGATAAGACGCGGAAGATGGACTATACGCTATGGAGGTCATATTTGATTGGTATCCGTGGACCAAGGGCAGATGCAGCAACACTGAGGAAACAGTTAATCGAGTTTTGTGATCAGAAGTATATGATAAAGCTTGATAACGATAGCCTCCCAATTGAACACATAACCAAAGGTATAATGTTTCTTGACCATGTATTGTGTCGGAGAGTGGTGTATCCCACTCTTCGGTATACTGCAACTGGTGGTAAAATTATTAGTGAGAAAGGTGTTGGCACCCTTTTGTCTGTCACAGCAAGCTTGAAACAATGCATCAAGCAATTTAGGAAGTTAAACTTTCTTAAGGGTGATAGGGAACCAGACCCACAACCATGTTTTAGGATGTTTCATGCTACTCAAGCTCACACCAATGCTCAGATGAACAAGTTCTTGTCGACAATGGTTGAGTGGTATAGATATGCTGACAATCGGAAAAAAGTTGTTAATTTTTGCTCCTATATCATTAGGGGTTCCCTGGCAAAGCTCTATGCTGCAAAGTACAAGCTTCGTTCACGAGCAAAAGTTTACAAAATTGGTGCAAGAAATCTGAGCCGACCTCTGAAGGAGAGGAAAGGACAGTCTCCGGAGTACCAGAATCTGCTGAGAATGGGCCTTGCTGAGTCAATTGACGGCCTTCAGTATACCAGAATGTCTCTCATTCCCGAGGCTGATTATACACCCTTCCCTAGCAATTGGAAGCCTGACCATGAGAAGGCATTAATTGAATATATAAGGCTTGATGATCCAAAAACTCTGGAAGAGCAAAGGAGTTGCATTTGTGAGCAGGGACTCGTTTCACCGCAGGACTACATATCTATGCTAGTGTGGAACTACAAGAGAAATGCAATTGTGATGGATCAGCTTTCCCTGGTCAAAAGTGCTATTAATAGTACAAAAGGAGATCATGAGAACTATGATACTGAGATCAAAGATGAGGAGGTATCTGAAGAAGGGCTTCACGCATCACAGATTTAAGACAGATTTTGTAACCAGTGCAAATCTTGGTTAGTGTTGCATATCTTTGTTAATTAACCAGCTTTTGCATAGTTCATCTCGAACTGTTTCATATTATTCTTTGATATGATACCTTGTGTATGATGTGTTAGGCATGTGCCCTGTACAATAGTTGGTGGCCTATGCTGACTGGCAATTGAACGTGAAGCTTATAAGCATTTACTTCCTCTCAAATGAATTTTGTTAGTTCATTTAATCATATGCTGACATGCTGCATTGGTGTTGTGGTAGTAATGTATGTCCTTCCAATGCCTTTGATGTTCTTTGCTGGCCCTGATGGTTGTGCTCTTTTTTCGGAATCTGACTGTAGGTAACTTTTATTTGTCCTAAATTTGGCAGTAGACAAGGTTTTATCTTCCTTTTTTGTTATCTTCATCGTTCGATACTCTTTACTTTATTAGTAATGAATACGTGTAACCGTTGGGTGAATGCAACAAAGTTCATGACTGGAGTTACTGCAATTGGAAACATTGCTATACCAGCTATCTTAAAGCATGGTGGAGTTATTGGTTGGGGCGCATTGGTGATGGAGCTTTTATGATTAACAAGTTTTCTGAGTTCGCGGCCATCGTTTGCAGAGCTTGTGGTAGTGTCTTGTTATGACAGTGCATCAAGCTCACCTAACCCACAAGAGATTTCAGTAAATTCTAAACCCTGAAATTTCGTCATTTGTGAATAACAAGCTGTCTCTTTCTTCCCCTTCATTTATTAGTGGGGAAAAAGACGTTATGACCTCTTTTCTTAATTTCTTCTGGGTGACGACTTTTTTAAAAAAATGTGTAAGAAAAGGCAAAAGCAACATTCAGATACAACATGTATACGGCACAAATCAAGCCACCTACCTAGGTGGCTAAGGAAGAACGTTCGTTATGATTGAGAGATTTTTAAATAGATATTATCTTGTATCTCCATACAAATCAAAAATAAAATTTACGCTCTACATGGTTGAATATTAAATTATGATTCGATTTCGGAACATCTACACTCTACAACTGAGTTGATGATGTTGGAATTTTTAAGCACCCATACAACAGGGGAATCGACAACAAAGTGCTCAATCATTTGGATGTTTCAATTATCAATTCTTAATTATGATTAGAGGTGCACAAAAAATCCGAATATCTGATTTTGTGCAAAAAATATCCGAAATCGGATTTGAGAAAAATCGGTTTTTTTAAACCGGATTGGATATTTTAAAACTGGATAGTATAACCGGTTTGAGAAAAAAATTGGACGACCGGATTTTTTATCGGATTAAAAACCGGTTTGGAAAAAACCGGATAAAAAACCAATTTTTTATCCGGAAAAAAATTCGGTCTGGGGTTTAAAAAATTGGATGACCGGATTTTTTACCGGATTAAAAACCGGTTTTTTAAAAAAACCTGTTTTTTTAAACCGAAACCGATTACACCGGTTACATCATCCGGCCCTTCAAACCGGTTATGATCCGAACCGGTTTTTTTATAAACCAGTTTTTTGGCTTAGTGAGAAAACCAGATCGATTTTTATCCGATCCGGATCGAATTTAAATCCGGCTATGTGCATCTCTACTTATGATAACCGGATAAGTGTGTATATATCTATATACATGACCAATGATACTTTTAGTTAAAATATTAATTTGTATTTTAGAGTCTGTTTGTTTTATGAAAAATAAACTTCAAAAAATAAATTTCGTAGAATGAATTATATTTCCTAAAAAATAAATTTCGGAAATTATTTAACTTTGTTTGAATGATGATACACGTAAATCATTTTTCACTTGGTAAAATTTTTAGAAATTATTTATTATAAATATCAACTACAACAAATAATATTTATTTATTTATTAAAAATGATTAATATTAATATTTATTAAAATATTAGAACAATTTAATAAATAAAAATATTAAGATTATTATATTTATTAAAATATTTTTTATAAACTATATTAATTATTTATTGAAATAAGAATATATATTATTAATTATATTAATTACTTATTAAAATAAGAATATTATTATAATATTAAAAATTAGAATATTAAAAAATATTTTATTTTAAATTTTATTAATAAATATATTTTAAATATTTAATAATTTAATAATATTATTATAACAATAAAAATATAATATTGTATTATTAAAATTATTAATAATATGTTTAATAATTAATATTTTATTTAAATTGTATTAAGATAGTATATTAATAATAAATAATAAAATAATATTATTTCCAGTATTTTTCTTTGAAGATAACACTTTAAAAAAGCAACTCACGAAAAATCAATCTGTAACTTATCTTCCAAAAAATACAAAATAAATTATGTTGATAAAAAAAAATGAATTACCTTAACTATCTGTTTTCACCAACTAAACATTGAAAAATGAAAAATACATTTTTTTCAAAACCAATTATAATGAAACAAATAAACCCTTACTCGAAAACTTCATTTCAAACTTATTTGTTTTGCTAACGTAATATTATTCGGTTGAAAATGAATGTACAGTTAAAAGTAAAAGGGTAAAGTACACAAATGGTCCCCTAACTATAACATACTATTTTATTAAGTCTCTCGACTAGTAAAAGTTACAAAATGATCAACTGATTATAGAGTATGGTTTTGTTGAGTCATTTGACTATTAAAAGTTACAAAATGATCACTCGATTATTCATTATGTTCCAAACTCATAATTTTTTGTTAAAAAATTAACTGCAGTCTGAGTTGGACGTTAACCTACTGATTGATATATGATAAAATATGATTTCATAATCTCAAACAACTATCATATCTCAGCCATCATGTTCCACTCAGATAACCGTTAATTTTTTAACAAAAAAGGACGAGTTTAGAATATAATGAATAATAGGGTGATCATTTTGTGGCTTTTAATAGTCAAAATACTCGACAAAATAATACTCTATAGTTGAGGAACCATTTTGTAATATTTACTAATTGAGGGACTCAAATAAAATAGTATACTATAATCGGGAACCATTTGTGTACTTTATCCAAAGTAAAATTAGAATAATTTTTTTTGAAAAAAATAAACTTTGAGTTAATTGAATCTTAACTTGGTTTCTTAAGTTCGAGTGGAGTAAATTTTTACAACCCCGATATGTTAAAAATTTACAAAGATACCCTAGAATCCTAATCAATTTTAGAAAACATTAATTGCAATACTTGTATTGTACACAATATTTATCAAAATGATCATTTTGATCCTTATTTTTTTTTAGAGTATTTTAGCCCATAACGTTTCATTTTAAGGTAAAAATGTCATTATTTTACAGAATACTCACTTTGACCTTTATTCTTTTTTTTTAGAGTATTTTGTCCCTCAATATTTTATTTTAAGGTAAAAAATCTCTATTTTATATTGTTAATCGTATGTTAACTAACAATTTTTATCATAAAAAGTCTCTTTAACCCCAACGTGCTAAAAAAAGAATAGAAATAAAAATGACTATTTTGATAAACATTGAGGATTAATTTTAACCTTATACCTATAATAAACAAACAACTAATCCTTTCAAAAATAAAAGAAATAATTCCTCCCCACCAAAATGTTCAAAATAATCTTCAAACCTTCGGTAAGAAAGCAAATTTTCAATAAATTTACATAGAAAAATATAATATTCATAAAAGTTCTTAAAAACAATTCTTTTGTTTTTTTTTCTTATTTTGGGTTGAAAGAAATTTTTATATATATTCTGTCAATTTTATTTGTTATAACTTAAAAATCAATAAGATTATTAACAACTTGACAGGTTTAAACTTTGTAATTTTCTTAAAATAACTCCATTCAATCTAACCTTACTCGACTCAGTTTTAAAAATTTTAAACGGAATTTAACTGATAAAATAAGACTCGGCGGTACAATTAGGACTGTAAACGAGTATTGTTGAGTTCGACTCAAACCAAAATTTTAAAGCTAAACTTGAATCGATTCGAAAGCTCGTGAGCTTAAAATTATGAAGCTCAATTCAAACTTGAAATAAAAAATTGAAGCTCAACTCGATTCGGAAGCTCGTGAGCTTCAAATTTTCAAGCTTGACTCAAAACTAAAAATTGAAGCTCAACTCGAGCTCGAAAAAACTTAAATTCGAAATATTCTCATACTTAACTCGATTGAAACTCAAACTCGAGCTCGATTCAAGTTTGAACTCTATTTCGAACCTAAACCTTAAGTATATAAAGGTTAATATTATTAATAATTTAATTTAAAATGCTAAAGTTTTAATATATCATTATTTTCAAGTTTATCACGAGTTTTTCAAGTCGGATATCGAGTAGTTCGCTTAGATTCCTTAAGAATTCGAGTCGAGTTCAAATTCAAATCGAATTTATTTAATTTGAATATTAATTGAACTTTGACTGAATGATACTCGAATTGTTTTATCTCATTTACAGTCTTAGGTACCATTAACTCGGTGGAACTCTCACCCTTATCCTATTGAGACTTAATCCCAAATTTGGCAAGAGCAAGAAACCAAACTCAGAATTTAACCTTTTGCTCTCAGTTTTCTGTTTGTATTTGGTTAACATACCATCGACATTCCTTTTACTGCTTCATCTAAAATTCAATTAATTGAATATTATTGGAAGTATTTTGTTTTTTTTTTCTTTCTAAAATTATAATTGATTATTCTGTTCTGCAGCTGCATTCAGAAAATCATCCGATTTCTCTGGTAGATTCCCAGTGGGTACATTGCAGAACTCGGTAAAGTCAAAACCCAAAATTTCCCTCAATTTTTCATAATACACTGCCGATCCATATCAACCTCTCCTGGTAAAATTATTCAATCTATATATTTTTTTTCATGAATTTGTTATATTTTGCATCAACCGACCATCTGCAATTCAATTCATTTGCTCTTTTACATGAATATACTAATTTTGGAAGATTTTGAGCCTTTTGGGGATGAATTCAATTTTTGGGTATGTTAATTTCATGTTTATAGATGTCTCCTTTCCTGGGTTTTAATGAAATTTAACGAATGTAGTGTTTATCTTGTAAAGGGTATGACTTTCAAAAGAAATTAACGTAAGCTCCACTTCAGAAAAGAGATGAATAAATCCTCTGGTTTAAGCTCTTAAGTATTAAGAAATGAAAAGTCATACACTGATATATGAAACTGACTTGGTGGGTAATTTTGAAGGTTGTATGGGGAAAGGCCATAATCAATTTTTGTTAGGTTTCTAAACTAAGTCTTCTGAATTTACGATTGGTTTTCCTTTTTCCTTTTTTTCTTCAGAGTGCAGGAGAACTGTTGAACTAATTTATGCAAAGTTAATGGGTATAAAAACATGGTTGTTAAACCATAAATTTTCTGGTAGCTAAGGACTTTCTACTGTACTATGAGAATTGTTTAAGTTATTGTTTTCAGGGTTGGGGAGGGGAACTGATAACACATACATTTCAGGTATTCTACAGGTCTGATGATGGCTGACTTACTGGGTTATCTGCGCAACTGCTTACAGACACGAAAACTTGCAGTTTTGGCAATTTTAGTTTCAGGAGGAATTGTGTTGCAAATCTTGGTGAGTATTGCATTTCTCTGTTAATTAAATACCTTTTGCAATGTTTCCCTCAAAATGTTTCATATTATTTCTTTGATCTGATATGTTGTGTGTGTTAGGCATGTGCTCTGTACAATAATTGGTGGCCAATGCTGTCTGGTAAGTGAATGTGAAGCTTATAATCATGTTTTTCTGTTTCTAATCATTTACTTTTTCTCAAATGAATTTTGTTAGTTCATTTAATAAGGTTTAGATTTTAAAATTTCAACTCTGTAACTTTTCCATGGTTGCCTATTATTGATGGAATTAAGAGTTGCATGTCCCTGGACATATACCTCAAAAGCTAATGGTAGTATTTTGATTTAGAGGCATATCATTAAGACAATTGATCTTCAATCTACGAAGTAATGATCTTAAGTTTCAACTAAATTATCATCCGGGAACATGCATTATGCATATAGAAATTTGTCATCTGTACAGTTCTTTCGGGTTAATTTCTTTCTTGTTCTGTGACTCTACCCGTATTTTTTCAATGAGCTCACTTGTTTATTGCTTAAATCCATACTAGATATTTTCATATGCTGACATGCTGTATTGCTGTTGCAGTAATAATTTATGTCCTCCTTCCAATGCCTTTGATGTTTCTTGCTGGCTCCGACGGTTATTCTCTTTTATCTGAATCTGACAACGGGTAACATTTTTCCCCTTAAATTTGGAAGTATACAAGATTTTATCCTCTTTTTCAGTTATCATCATCATTTGACACTCAGTATTTTTTTCGTAATTTTATTTGTAATGAACACGACTAACAGTTGGGTGACTGCGACAAAGTTCTTGACCGGAGCTTCTGCAATTGGAAGCATTGCTGTACCAGCTATCCTAAAGCATGCTGGAGTTATTGGTTGGGGTGCATTGGTGATGGAACTTTCATCGTATTTCATATTTTTACTAGCCATTCTGGTTTATATTCGAATGAATGATGATGGTGATGATTACAATTTCTTCTGAAAGATGACAAGTTCAGTTCCCATCAGCAATCATGTGGAGCACAGTCAAAATTCATTCAAAGGAAGCTATCCTTTCCTGTTTTGGTAAGCTTCATTCCTCGTTTGTTCTTGTATAGTTCTTGGATCATATAATGAGTGTCATTATCGTCTTCGAACATTTGTTACACATAAGAAAAACAATCCTCTTTATGATAGAGTGATCATCATATGCTTGTTGTCTTAAGAAAACCTAGTTGTAGATCCCAGAATTTTCTTAATTTCATTCATCGTCAAAAGGCACCACGGAGTCGAGGAATGTTGGTTTGTTTATCTGCAGAACGTCCCAATGACAAGGTTCAAGCTCATCGAAACAGGGTAAAATACAGCTACTGTTAGTCTATTACCTTGCATGCAGTAGCAGCTACAAACCAGAATTCGAAGTCCGACACTTGGGGGGCTTGGCATTTAAACAGTGCCATTCATTCCCAGATCCTGTTTTGCGGCATCATTGGACTCGGGTTTGAGGTTTCGAGTTGCCAAAGAACCAAGAGTAAAGACCCGTGGTTGTCGACCAAGCTTTTTGACGCCTGAAGGGTTTTGGAGAAAGGAAATCTGGTGGATTTACTCAGAGCATGCTATTTACAAAGAGCAAAATGAATATTCGGAATAGCATACAATAAAATTATAGACTTAAAAGTCAAAGAAGGCCAAATCTGATAACCAATAAACCGATCCATAGCATATAAATGACAGAGATAAAGCGCACAAATAGTTTCTAATTATAAGATGTTATTTTGTTGAGTCATTTGACTATTAAAAATTATAAAATAATTTTTTGATTATAGATATTGTTTTATTGAATCCTTGTACTATTAAAAGCTATAAAGTAATCACTTGACTATTCATATGTTCTAAATTATCGTTTTTCATTAAAAATTAAAAGTCATCTAAGTTGAAAGTTAATCTAATAATTAAAATACGATAAAATTATATTTTAATGATGTATACTAGTACACCTGTTGTTTTCAAACACTGACTTGACGATATAATGTTTCAACACTGACTCGACAACATAATATAACTCAAATGGTCATCAATATTTTATCATATTTTAATCATCATGTTAATGTTTAATTTAATCTGTCGTTAATTTTTTAACCGAAAAAAACTAATTTAGAACATATAATAGTCAAAGTTAATATTTTATAATTTTTAATAGACGAATTTAACAAAATAACACCCTATAATCAGAAAATATTTTGTAAATCAAAAGTAATATATACAGTGGGGATCATTTGTGTATGTTATCCTAAACGATATAATCTATCAACATAAGACAATCTCAAAAACTGAAAAGAGTAAATCTTACTGCCAAAGACTAAGCCCGAAGTCAAAGGATCAAATTCATATAAAATATAAGAGTAATCTCATTGCCAAAGATGAAGCATGAAATCCATACATGTCAATAGAACAGAAAAGATTAGTAATCTCAATGCAAAAGGCTGCCAAAGATTAAGCCTGAAATCCGTATCAACGACAAATATAGTGAAATAAATCCTCTCAAAACATGTCAAAATTCTGAAAAGCACTTTCAATTTCCTCAGTTAGTAGCTTTTGAGCTCCTAAAATCCTTCTTCAACTCGGCAACTCTCTTCATACAAGCTGCCTTGGATTTCCCAGGCACAGCAGCAGCAATCTTCTCCCACCTCATGGCCACATCTTTAGGAAAAGCTTTCAAAGCATTAAGCAAAGCAATGTCTTCCACTGAATTCCACACAACTGCTCCACCACTGCGACTGTCTTCCTCGTTGATTCTCGTATCCAATGGCTTCCTGTTCTTCAAAAACTTAGCATATGAATCAGCATCATCCACCTTTTTCTCTCCCAATTCTTTTGCTTTCTTTATCACACTTTCCGTTTTATGTTTCCCGTTAAAGGCTGCAGCAATAGTCTCCCATCGACCCGGTTTCCCCACCGGATTCTTTGCCATTTGTTTCTTCAACATCTCCACATCTGCCTCACTCCATTCCTTTTCCCCTCCATCGGAATTACTCCCGAGATCTTCCTTTTTCGACAACCTATTTGAATCTTTACTTTTCACCATCTTTTGTGGAAACTCATTTGCGTCTTCAGCTAAAGAAGCACGACTTCCACTGGGTTCATCAACTTTAGCAGCCTTTGACCATCTCTGGGAAGATTTTTTCTTAGATTCAGGCTCGGGTTGAGGCTCTTGATCGATGGGATCGGGGATGATGGGTCCAACTCCAACGCGAATGTCACCGCCAGTGACGGAAGGAGGGGCGAAGGGGCCAACGAAGAGGGAGAGAGAGAGCCAAAAGAGGAGGGATTTGAAGGGCTCGGACTCAACGTAGAATAGGGATAGAGAGAGAAGAAGGGAAGAGATCGAGAGGGAAACGAAAAGCAAGAATTTTGAGGGTTTTTGTGGGATTTTTTCTTGGGATGGCGAAGAGGGTTGAGGCCGTGATTGGAAGAGGAATCTGGGTCTGGCGTCCTCGTCCAAAAACTCCATGATTTTCTGTAATTTTCACAGGCAACGGCGATGTGAGATGGCTATATAGGAGAGAAGGGCAATGTCCGACTTTCTATATTTATATTCTATTCCTTTTTCTTTTAAGGTAAAAATATGTAAATAGTTCCTTCATTATAAATTATATTTTGTTTCCCGACTATGAAAAGTTTTAAATTGATTACTCAACTTTAAAAAATAATACGTTAATTATAAAATTTACTTAATGAAAATTTATCTCTTTTCTTTTAAACATTATTATAATTTGGTCCTAATTTAATAACCATTATCATTTCAAAATTACATCAATTTATTCCATATTTTAACTCATTTTCATCTTTATCCTTTTTAATATCATTATCCACAATTCCGTCGATCGTCATTCCTTCATTGCCATCATCGGTTTTCTTCATTCTATAACTGCTAATGTCTCAAATTTTCATTTTTTAAAATTAGATAAACTAATTGAAAGGCTCAATTTTTTTTTGTTAAACTTGTATGTTGTTTAGTTTTGATTTGTAAATATTCAGTTGGGTTTAAAATATAGCATATCTGAGGAAACCAACATCAATATTGTTGTATCTTTGCCTAAGATCTTTCACGTTTCTCAAAGTCTTCGAACTAAGAGCTTATTCGGTAATAAGATTCTGAAAAAAGCATCTCTAATGACCTATGAGTAGTTATCATATCCCTACAACAAACACTAGTACTAATATTCACTATAAAACATATTGCCAAGACTAAGAGATAGGAGGAAATCTATATGGAACTACCTCACCCTCACTTAATTCTCTGTACCTTATCATGGAGACATAGAACATTAACATTGATCAAATACCATTCATTGACTGATTGTGGTTCTTTATCCAAATCAGAAGGGGTGAACCGTTTATAACTATCGTAACTCATTTGAACTCATAAAAAAATAGTACGGTGAACATGGAACATCTCATATTAGAAAATAATCAATCAAAATATACCCTTAGGGTGTGTTTGGTTCATGGGATGTAAGATTACCTTTGGGAATAACATTACTGAAATGTAACATTACCTGATGCATGACTGAGAATGTTATATTACCGTGTTTGGTTTGTTTGGTTAAATGAATAAGAGATTACTGGAACGCATATTTTACCAAATTGTCCTTGTTCTACATGTTTTAACAAGTGGAATTCTAAATATTTAAATGAAAATATTTATATAAAAAATCATCGAACATATATTGTTTTATTATTTTAAATTTATATACTTTATAATAAAATTTATATATAATTTTTTTATAAAATTTAAAAGATAAATGGGTAGAATAAAAGAGTAAATATATAATGTATTATTTTAATTATAAATAATATTAATTTTTACATTATTTATCTAAAAATATATTAAAATTTTATATCAACATTTAACTAAATAAGCATATGAAAATTTTAATAGATAAACCATTTTACTCCTACCAAAATGTAGGATGCTGCTCACTTATGCTCGATGTTTTTTGTTATTTCTTCCAGGGTTCTTTCTTCAAAAACCATCCACACTGTGTTATTCACTCAAGATGGAGTAAAAACAAAAGTCTCAATGTCTAATCTATAATTTTAGACTATTAGTTAGGGTATTTTTATATGCTTCTTTGGATTCCAATTGATCCCACTTTCAAACATGCATGCCTTTAACCATTAAAAAGCATGGGGTAGAGCCAAATGGGATAATGCTTGAAAATAGGGGAAACCAGTCACTTAAATTCCATCATAGAAAAAAAAAAGTTGAAAACAAAGTTGGAATGAGATAAGTTAACACGAAATGATCTCTCTAAACCAGAGAATGTTGGGAATATGCAAGTTGAATCTACACATTTAGAGACTAAACGGTTTAGAAAAGTGATACCTTGTTAAGAGCTCCACTCCGCTGAACTTAACGTTTCAAGACTAAGAATCAAGTTCATATTCATTACAAGAAATGAGGAATTGTTGAAAAGTTACCCATTAACTTCATTAACCGATCCATTTTCATGAATCTTATGGCACATAAGAAAATTACTATTGTTTGATGCCATAATAACATCTTGTACTTGTTTAAGGTTTTTCATGCCACCCTCAACTTGTTTGAGGTTTTCTTCCTCGCCTTCCTCTAAGTCTTTGATATTGCTTTCATTGCCATGTAAGAAAATGCTTGATTTCTTAATATTTTCTAACCACGTTCTTTTTCATCCTCATTATACATATGGTGATTCAATATGAAAAGAAAAAATTATGTTTTCACCTTTTCTCTTTCCACTTCATGCAAAAAGGTAGACTTTGTTGCTTTTAACTCTCTAGGTCAATCAAAAGTTACAACTTGAGCTTAAGCTTACAAAGGTCATGCGGTTTAGGCTAGAAAAATCGTGGGGGCTTGATATGCTTAGGCCCAGATTGTTACTATTAGGATCAGAGCATGTACCAGCATGATGTATTCTTCTGTACTATGAGGTTGTCTACAATTTGGGTAGTAGAAATGTCATCCTGCATATGATATGAATGTATGTGAACAGGTTAAACCCATATAACAGTTCGGCCAATGGATACTATCAGATTGAGCTTAAGCTACCGATGGCCACTTGGTTCATAACCACAAAGAAAATATGATATGTTCATAGCCTAAAACACCAACATAATAAAAGTAATTTATAATAACCTATGGAGATAAACACCTAACAAGTTCACAAAATAAGAATTACATAAACTAAATGCTAGAGACAAAATCTAATTTCGAAAGATAACTAATTAAAAGTTAAGGGCCCCAACAGCCTATAGCTTCATCACTCTTGCCATCTACATGTACCCACTGTGTTCCCTACTCTCATGTCCTAACAACCATAAACATCCTACTTGCTCGTAACTTTATGTTGAGTTAATAGATCGATGAATCGGCCAAGAGGGGGTGAATTGACAATAAAAATTTCGGTGGAAGCTTTTGCAGAAAATTGAAAATATTTGCCCAGAGATTTAGAGTGGTTTAACTTTCTCAACCAAAGTCTACATCCACTACCTTAGCTATCCACACTAAGGATTTTCCACAAATTCACTAATTTGTCTTTCTTTTGAGGACAAAGAGTAACCTTACAACTCCTTCAAGAATTATACCCAAATTCTTGAGAACACTCTCTCCCAAAGGGAATAATACAAATTTTGCAAACTTACAGATAAACCTCACAAGTCAAGATGTTTATACAATTCTAGAACAAAGAAAGAACACTCAAGAATGAATACAATTGAGTACAAAGGGTGTTCTTGAAAGCAAAATGAATATTGAATGGAAAATAGGCTTGAAATGCTCAAACAATAAGTTTAAAGCTTTCTCTTTGATTCTATCTCAATTATTGTTTCTTGTTATTAATCAATGACTCCTAAGCTTGTTTAAATACACCTTGGATCACTTCTGAACGTTGGGAATCATTGGTGAAGTCAATAGAGCCGTTATGGTGTGAATACCATTTAAAACATCTGTTGGGAGCGTAGGTGTATTGGTACACTGTCAAGGTGTATCGTTACACATAGTGTAAAATTCAAATATTTCGACCGTTGGTTGACCTGATGTATATGTACACTCAAGAGTGTATCGGTACCCAAATTACATTCAATGTTTCTCGGAGCTAGGAGTGTATCGGTACATCTGTTGTGTATCGATACCCAAATTACATTCGATGTTGGGGGTGTATCGATCATCCAAGAGTGTATCGATACCTCCATTTGTAAAAATCATTTTTGGCTCGATTAAGGTTCGAAATACTTTGTAAAAATTGTTTCAAAAATATTTTAAAACTAAAACACAATTTTACACTTAAGTAAGGATTAAAATTGACATTTGAAAGCTTGGAGTAATATTTTTTATATTCGAATAATTTACTCAAATATTAATTTTGAAATCGAATATAAAATCTTAAAATTCATTTGCACTTTATTTGTTATATAGAAACATCAAAATGTTTTCAACAATCTCCCCCTTTTTGATATAACAAAACATTTTAGTAATTTTAAGATTTTCTTTGAAAATCATTTTTGAAATCAGTTTTGAAAATTACTCCCCTTTACTTTATTCTCCCCTGTTTGTTAAATAAAAAAGACTATAAAACGTTTAAACAAGGTTTTTAAGAAAATAGCCAATTAAATTAAATATAGATATAACTTAAGCTGCTAAGATCACAATCAAGAGAAAAATTAACCATTAGTCCATAATCAATATTCATATTCAAATGTGTAATGGTAATTGGTCATATTCAATTAAGATGTAAATGATGCAAAAATCAATGAAATTAATATAAACATTAAGTTCAAATTAAATATTCAAACCATTAAAAAATATATCCAAACATCCAAAACACACAAATTCAAAAACATCCAAAATGTTTTAACAATAAGTTCAAATTCAATCCAAGAAAACTAAGCAAGAAATAGGTCTAATCATCCATAGGTGGATCAGGAGGAGGAAAACGAGATCGCATAGCGGCAATATCGAGTGAAAGCGCATGTAGTCACTCGTTAATAGCTTCGTTGTTGGTGTGCATCTCCAATTGAATTTCCAATTGTTGAGCCCCCATAGCAGTTAAATGGGACTATATGGATACAAACCTCATCAAATATCTCAAAAAATGATCGAAAGTATGGAGGCATTTGATTCTCTTGTTGTACCGGCTCATCCTTGGGTACATGATCATCGATATCTCGTATAAGTTCTTCAAGCTCGGGATCATCATCAGCTGTCGGTGCCAGTGTCGGAGGAGCTCCTAAAGAGCTAGCACCCGGTGTTTTCTCGATTGATCGAACCCATTGATCCTTTTCCCGGACCATCCCGATTTCTTCAAGGTTGTGAGATTTATTGGGTTCTTAAGAGGGATGGCTACATCAAGCTGGAACCTAAGATTGGATTTGATAAACAAATTACTCAGAAGACAACCGTAAACTAAGGTTTCTACATGTTTTGACGGGACATTGTTTACGGTTTCTACTAGCTCACCAAAAATGATTTGTGGCAAATTTATTTTCTTATTATGTTGGATACAATTTATCCACCATAAATCTAAAGCTCTAAGGGT